CATCATTATGCTCTTTATTACATCTCATTAAGACTATGTATTATAGAAGTAATATTGTATAGTTGGACAGTGCCAAGCCAAGCAGGTTTGCCATATTGCAAGCATAGGAAAATTCTTCATCACTTTGGCTTTATTTGCTAACACAATTGTCTTTAAAACAGTAAATCAATGTTCTATGCACGTAGGAAAAATTCAAATGTACAATAGACTGACCAGTAAATAAAAATCAGATTAAAAAGACCTAAACACAAAAGACCTTTTAAATCACTATAGTTCTGCCTCCTGAGTTGTCAGGCTTTTAATATTTCACTGACAGATACATATGTGTGTATATATATATATATATATATAAAACATTGGTATGAAATATATTTCCAAGCCTGTAATTGAATAATACTCAGTGAAAAGTTATATGCAAACTCACCTGATTATTTTATAAATTATTCAACCAATTTGTGACATGATAGTGTTCCTACCTAAAGAATAGAGGTCCCCCTGCACAGGGCATGAGACAGAGTTTTTTAATTCAGCTGGGTTTTTTGGTCTTTCAGTGTCCAGACCCAGCTTGGACATCATTTATGTACCTAAGCATTTTTATGCAGGTGAAGAGCTTTTTCAGAGAGCTAAGTCTTCTACAATATGATCAGCAGAAATATTCACAGTGTATAAACTGGTGTTTTAGCATTTCAGGCTTAAACAAAAAAAAAACCAAACCAAAACAAACAAAAAAAAACCCCAAACAAACAAAAAAAGCAAACAAACAAAAAAACAAACAAAAATCTAAGAAAGACTGGATTAACTAGAACACAATAGGTTTCCATATTTCTAGAACCTGAGGAAGGAGACACAGGACAGGAGTAGAAGCTGTTTCTTTATGTCTACACAGTAGAAAAATATCTCCTCAGATTACAAAGGTAAAAATGTTTCATTCATATGTGACCTTCCCCTCCTGGTCACTGAAAAAGTAGATTACTGAGCCAGCAGGAATAAACATTTCACAATATTACTGAAAATTAAGCAAAATAACAATTTTAAAGCTCTGGGAAAAGGATATATATGGTGAAGGATTTGTTTGCATAGATGTAATAAGTGAACCTGAGAGCAACGCAGGAAGGCACTGCTGGCACAGACCCAGGAGGCACAACACAAAAACAAAAAGCAGCCAGGTGGTCTGATAAAACAGAGGCAATGGGCAGAGCCTTCACAAACCATCACTAATGTCTTGGCTGTCTTTGATGACAAAAGTTTTAAGAACTTGTTTAATTACCTTCTATTTTGCTTTCCAAATGGTACCTAAGCAGCTTATCAGAAGTGAACTGTAAATTTCATGATCAACTCTTTGGTTTGAGGTAAAAAGCAGCAGGTGAGGCAGGCCAGGGTCCTTGTGTGGACACAGGCAAGACCTAAGCCCCAGACCCTGAGAATCTGAGTCAACAGCAAGAATTTCCTGAATTAGGATGATACTGATGAACGTACCAGTCAGCAGCAAGGACTTCTGTTTTCCCCCTGGCAGTGTGTGATACTCTCTCAGCTGCCAAAATCAGGGTACAAAATCTGGTCATGCCCTCTATTCCTCTCTCGTAGTGCATTGCCCCCAAAACACCCAGCTCCCTACTATACCCAGAACCTGTCCCCTGCCTGCTGTAGGAGATAGCCTGGCAAGGATGAAGGAGTTTGCAGTGGTTCCTGTGCCACTGGGAATATGCACACCACCATGCAGAAATCCCTGGTATTCAACATGAAAGACAGAAGCCCAACAAGGAGCAGGAAGAGTGACATTTAAGGCAAGAAACATCAGATATATTAGAAAAAAATTCCTATCCAGTACAGAGAAACAACTTCATAAATCACAAAATGACAAGACTCTGTCCCACTGGAAAATAACCATGGGAGAGGAATTCTTGCAAATGTATCTCTGATTTGAGAGATAAAATTAGAAAACCCAAAGTTGACTGTTGTGAAACCATCTCTGCATATTCCAGTAATTTAGAAAGTTCAGATAAGTGCCTGAGTTGATGTCCTGATTTTTCTGAGGACAACAACCATATTGGTACTACCTTTAATTGGGCCAGGATGTCAACTCTGAACTTTGTGCTGTTGATCCAAAGCAGCCAACCTCAGGTCATGTCAGTGCTCGTATAAGCACGGAAATACAGCCAGTACATACTCAATGTGCTAAGGAACCTTCCCATTAGCCAGCAAACAGTATCCATTTGCTAAAGATCCACACCTTCTTCTGCCACCACTATTTATGTAAAAAATACCGCCAGGAAAAAAAATTTAGTAGGGCAATTCAAACGATAAACTGTAATCCATGGAACTAAGGAACTGAGCTGGCATGAGGGAAGGGAAAATGCTTTCCTCTTAAGAAAACTTTGATTTTTCAGGGAAAACTTGGTAAAAGAATGTTCTGGTCCCAAATCACAATATTTTGTTTCTAAAAAGTGACAACACAGCCTTGATGACAGGAATGTCTGCTTCCTTCACTCTTGAAGATATTTTGAGATCCTGTCCTTTTCCATAAATTATGCTTCCATTATGTCACCCTCCTTCCTAAAGACACACAGGAAAATAACCCAATTTGTTTCAGTTAGGTAGCTTCAGTAAACCTTTCTCCACCATGACTGTTGGACAGCCATAGAATCATAGAATGATTTGGGTTGTAGGGGGCCTTAAAGGTCATCTAATTCCAACCCCTTGCCATGGGTGAGAACAGCTGCTTGTACTTCCACCAGGTTTCTCAGAGCCCCATCCAACCTGGCCTTGAACATTTCCAGGGATGAGGCACCCACAACTTTTCTGAGCAGTCTGTTCCAGTGCCTCAGCACCCTCACAGTAAAGAACTTCCTCCTAGCATCCAATCCAAAACTACTCTCAGTTTACAGCCATCCCCCCTTGTCCTGTCACTACATGACCTTGTGAAAAGTCCCTCTCCATCTTTCTTGTAGGCTTCCTTCATGCACTGAAGGCTGAAATCTAGGTCACACCAAAGCCTTCCCTTCTCCAGGCTGACCAGTCCTGATTCTCACAACCTTTCCTCATAGGAGGGGTGCTCCCTCCTTCCAATCACCTTGGTGGGCTCCTCTCCCTTCCCTTGACCTGCTGCCCTCAGTGCTTTGGATGCAGCCCAGGACACTGTTGGTTTTTTGGGCTGCAAATGCCTGATCCTGGGTGGTGTCCCACCCACCAGCATTCCCAAGTCCTTCTAGGCTACTCTTGGTCTTGATCTTCATCCCCAACCTTTGCTGATACAAGGAGTTGCCCACACCTGGATGCTACCCTTGTACTTGGTCTTGTTAAACCTCATGAGATTCCCATGAGCCACTTCTCAAGCTTGTGCAGATCCTCTTGGATGCCATCCCATCCTTCAGGTGTGGCAACCACACCACTCAGCTTGGTGCCTTCTGCAACTGATCCCTTTGTCTGTGTCATTAATGAAGATATTTAATAACTGGTGCTGGTATGGACTCCTGAGAGGCACCACTTGTCACTGATGTCCATTGGAACTCTGAGCCACTGACCATGACCCTCTGGACGTGACCATCCAACCAAGTCCTTAACCAACAGTATTTGTCCAAACCTTGTAAAAAAAGTTTAGCTTACTAACATCTCTATACTGATAAAATAAAATTGAAGCACATAAAAAATTATATTTTGTATATATGTATATACACACAGAGACCAATATGAATTTTCAGTGATTAAATCAGTTTAAAGAAACTCCTTTTGCAATAATTCCATCTTGTAAAACTGAAATAATGCACAAGGTAAAAATATATACCACTTATATAGGTACCTTTCTGTTAGGAAAAAAGAGCTGTGTATGCACAGTCTCTCACCCTCCATCCCATCCCCTCCCCAGTAAGAGTTATGTGTTAAAGTTTTTCTGCTGTAATAAAATATCTTTTCATGAATATTCTTAAAAATAAAATTGAAAACTCAACTGTATTTTTAAGTCCTCTACTCCTAGATTGCTCCTTTTTTTCCAGACGAGTCAAATGATGCTGGTACTGTCACATACTCTTACCTTAAAATCACAAGTCATCCTGCCCCATCTAGAACGTGAGGGCAAACATGAACTCTGCTTACAACACCATGTAAGACCCAGACACTATAAAATCCATCATTTAAAACCGGTATAATATTTCTGGCTTAAAAAAAAAAAGTAGTTGAAGCTATCTTCAGCACGAGGTAAAAACTGTCCCCTGCGAAAAACTGCTACAATGTAAACCAGAGTAAATGCTGCAATATTTATGAGTATTGTGGCACTGGGATTCCCCTCTGAGAGCCTCTGATTTTCACCATACATTGATTTTTATCATAAAGTGTTCTAAAATTAGAAGAGGCTGTGATCTGACAAGTATCCCTTATGTTTTAGTCCTGCAAATGGATACCATGAGGTACTTTCTCAGCTTGAAACTCTTCCAAAACCAGAGGAACTAATCTGACATATTAAACTGAACTTATATAAAGTCTTGTGTCTTTACATCATGCAATATCATTTATGGCATGCTGGGCTGTGACAGTTTAAGTTATGAAAATGCAGTATCACGCAGCAGATCAGAGCTGGCTTTATAGCAGGTCTCATGAATTTCTTCATCCAGAAAGAATAAATTTAGTGTGGGAGCATTCTGCATAGAACCCCTGCAGAGCAATAGATTAAAACTGAATTTTAGCACTTATGTCTTGCTCAACTATAAATCAGGAATTAGAATTGATAATGGCAGTTATCCATCAACAGCAGTGCAACTGCAGATGGTTATGGTAAAAAGGAGATACTTTTTATTATTATACTCAAAGAAAAGCTCTTCTATTTGGAATGTTTCTAGGCTCTAAAGAGGGAATGATCAGATCCATGCAGATCATCAGCACGGGTGGGGAAGACGCATTTGGAGTAACACCTCTCCGGATTCCAGGCCGTCTCTCTGAAGCTGTGGCAGTGGGCTTGGGCAGTTCACACAGCAGCCTCCCGCTGTCAGGAGGGCAGGAGGGAGCAGCAGCTACCAGACCCGGCAGGACTCTGCGCCGCGGTTCATCGTCGTGTTCGCCGCGCAGTGGAAGGCACGGCGGAACTCCTCAAAGTTGCTCATGGCTCCGATCACCCTGCAAAGAGAAAAGTGATTGGCATGCAGGTTTGCCTTTTGTCAAACGCTACAGGTCCGCAAGTGTTTCAGTGTTTTCACTTCAGGCTGAATTGTCAGGCTTTCACAATAATTTTTTCTACAAATAAAACCGAAATGTTCAGCAGAAGGGCTCCCAGTAAAAGCTAATATGAAGCAAATATTGCTTCATGCTTTGAGAAACATCTTGCTTTGCTAGAAACTCGGTGAAAAACAGATGCATTTTGTGATACTGTGTCCTTTAGAACAATTTTGTAATGTAAACCTTGGCAGCACAGGTGGGAGATCAGCAGTAGCTGTGCATGGTGGAATCCTTCTTCCAGCCCTGCCAGACAGCAGCAGTGCAGCAGGCAGGAGGATGTAAGCACACACTGGGCTTGTGCTGGCAGTGGTTTCATGGGGCTCCAGATTCTCCCAACAACACACTCTGCCCACCCACACACACACCCACTGGGTCCCTGGGACTTTGCAGGCTCAGGGGGCAATTACAGCCTCCTGTTGGGCAGCTCAGCCTCACACCTGAGAGTGTCTCAACTCCGCTGATATTTTGGAAATATATTTTCTGAGCCTTCTGCCCTGACCAGCTCCCAAGCTCTCTTGCTTCTACCACAGGTGGTGTGATCCTGAAAGGGCAGCACGTTCCTGCCTGACACAAGCTGGACAATGTGTCTGCATTCCAGACTGGCACCTTCAGGCACAGGGGAATAGCTTGGTCTTTGCATGCAGTCATCCTTGCCTCCTGCTTTCATGTCTGCATTTTTTCATGCAGTCAGAAACTATTATTTTACTTTTGCTTGATTGCAATTGTGTTGTTTGCTGCTTTTTCCTGTGCTTTTGACCATCTTGGGATTTATTAACCAGAAAGTTGCAATGGTAGTAAAGATTTTTCTGAGTTAAAAGCAGAAGAGTATCTACTGTGAAAATATTTGTATACCTTTCCTTTGTTGTGCAGTGAGGAGGTATTTTTCTATATTGCAGACAATCAGCTTCTCAGTGTAGCTCAGCATGGTAGAAAATATTCTTATTACATTGATTAGACTTTCTGTGAGTAAGAAAATTTGCAGTCATCTGGCACAAAAATGCCTAAAGGTCAGTTTTGTAGGGAAGATTACCAAATGAGGTTAGGCTTCAAATAAGATATGCAGCTTTACTGTAAAAAAAATTGCAGATACATATTCAGGGATTGGAACAGCAAGAGCTGGTCATGCAGAACTGCTGCTGCTGTTGGTGGGAGTTCTGCCTGCCACGCCAGGGATTTCAATCTGAAATCAGCATTCAAAAATAGCAAAGACACATGCTAATACTGAAAATCTGCCAATTAAAAATAAATAAACCTAGAATTAATCCAGTGAAAAATTCTTTATGTGTGCATACTTGCCACTTTTCTACCCATGGTTTGATATTGCCACATATTAACTGAAATGAGAGTGGAGTGCCTGGATTTCATCCCATTGAATTACAGTAGAGACACCTTTCCTTGAGCAGGTCATGCTGGCCTCCCTTGGTAATCAATAAAAAAATGTCCTGGCAGAGTCTAAGTAATTTAAATTTATTACCTGCTGAAAGATTATTTATAAATATATATTAACTTCTAAAATGCCATTTCCTTTTTGACTGTGAATAGAAACTGGTGTGAGTAGTTCAAATGCACACACCTATGCTCAAGACCTATGTTGTTAATTTCTATAATGTTTATTGTTACCTTTTATAATTACTTTTTAAAAGACTGAGCTTTTTGGACAGAAAGAGCTGTCAGTGTTGGAGCTAGCTGTATGGTAGTTATGCTTACAATGGTCTTGGGACACAAATGAAACCAAGTTGGGAGAAATAGATAAGATAATTTGTTAGCCCAGCTGATATGATTTGCAAGAGGAGAAAAGCACCAGTGCTTTTCTTCAGTTCTGAAACAGAAGCCAGTTCTCAGTATCTCACACAAAAACTAGAAAAAGAAAGAAAAGGTTTTGTCTATATTTTCTAGATCTCAAATTAATCTAAACTTTTCTGAAATTTTCATTCATAGACTGATGCCTTCAGGAGTTTTCCTAATAAATATCCCTAGAGCTCCATGTATATCACCATCTCATGGGAATGTAACTATGTAACAATTCAGAATATAAATATGCCTATAGGTAAATAGACCTGAAGATTTTAAAGACAACAGACGGTTATTTTACCAAAATCTTGGCAAGAGTAAGTATTATGAAAATAATACCTCTGTAGGCTGAAGGTCAGCCTGATGCTCCTGTCCTCACTGTCATGATGTATTTTCAATATTAAAAGGCACACAGATTTGCATAGTGCACTACTTTTACCCTCACTAGCTGGTGTAACACTCTTAGTCAACAGAAGGTGGTAGGATTCTCTCGAAGACAAATAATCCACTGTATTGTGTGAATTTTGTTGTGGAGTTAACATTCTTTGTCCAAATAAAGAGGTAACATAGTACTTGACCAAGGGCAAACACAGAATTCTTAGTTAAGTAAATACAACTAACATGAATCCCAACAAAACCAACACGTTCTTGGTGAAGAAGAAGAAAAATTAACTCTGGCTTCCTAATTCCTAATGTAGTCTCTAAAACTTCCCCCCTTCCCATGGCAGGGAGTTCATGAGTGTCTGTGGCTGGAGGAGCCTGTGGAATGTCTTTTGGCAAGGACAGACTCTCTGTTATGGCTGGACTACCTTCAAGCAGCTCCTTCAAGCAAAGTGTCCCTTGAAGGCCAATGGAGGAGTTTGGTCTTGGACTGAACTCACAGGGCACGTTTTGCTTTGCATTATCAATGTAATTCAAGGTCCAGACTTAGGAGCTTTTAATGAACTCAGACAGATTAAATCAAGGACCCTCCTTATATTCACTGTTTTCTAAACTAGAATTGCTTAGGGAAAGAAAGTGATAGATGAGGCATTTTAGGTACTCAGGCCATGATTACAGGACATCACAGGGATCAGAGTGTGTTCTGGTTCAAATGCTTTTGAAAGTAGATGCAAGCTCCTCAATTTTACAGAAGAGCATTTCTAATAGTGAAAGATAAGCTAATAAAACCAGTTCAATTTCCATCTAAACCAAGAGCACAGTCCAATTTTGTGTTTGCTCTTAACCCCCCCTCTTAAAATGCTATATTTCTGCACTTCTGTTCTGCAGTGATTGATTCTGTGTGTACACTGAGGAAATACCATATTTGCACTACCTGAACTGAGGAGGGCTGTGAGCTCCAGTATATATTTGTTCCCTCGCAGATTCTGGTCTAAAGGAGTTGCATCTCACCTAATAAAATTAAAAAAAAAAATAAAAATCCAGAAACAAGCACATTATCTGGGATGACTTTTTATGTAAAGCAAAATGCAATGTCACTGTTCTTAAGATGCCTATTATTTACAGAATGCATAAAATGGAAAGACACCATAAATTTCTTCTTTGTTTCACCTTTGCCAGTCTGCAGTTTTCTCCTGGTATACTCTCTTGTTTTTCAAATCTCCTAATGGATACAGTGTTTACCCACTGTTTTTCTCTGTACACTCTTTCCCATCATCTAATCACAGTTACTATACTAGTTCTTCTTTTGAAATTCTCTATAATGGTAGCTTGTCTTTCAGCTTGTGCTGCAGCATCTCACACCTTAATAATTACCAAACATACTTCTTGGCCTCAAAACCATGTAATTTGTATAAAGGGTACACATAATGATGCTTATCATCCCTAGAATTGCTGCTGTATTATCTGACATATTTATGCCATGCTGGAATGTCAGTTTCTTTTGAAATTACACATTTTCCACATTTCCATCAGTGGTCCCCAGTTCCCTATTCCTGATAAGATACTTAACCCAATCAAAAAGAAAGCATAGATAGAATATTTGCACAACTGAATAATCCCTCTTATGCTGTATCCATTGCATGAAAAATATCCTTTAAACTGCCCCTACCTTACCTAAGTCTCTACATTAAATGTTTCTATCAGCAAAATCCTTTAAGCCAGGTTGCCCATAGGATTTCAGTGGACTTCAGTGCAATTTTGTCTGGCTGAACACAGTTCTGACATTTTAAGTAAGTCTGTTGAGTGTCTTGAGCTTTGTGGAAATAGACTGAGCTCGAGTGCATACCCTGCTCTCACTGTGCCCTCCCTGTGAGGCACCACTGGACATGTGATTCCTGCAGTGGTCCTGTAAGACCCCCAAATGTTCCCCATAGCTTCAAAATTTTCTTGGAGAAAAACTGACATGAGGTGAAACTTAATTCAGCATGAACAGTGAAAGTGGAATCTTTTTATTGTTCAGTATAGTCAAACAGCCACAGGCCAATAAACTGCTACACTGACTCTCAGCAGAGGAATTATTTTCAGCCAGGACTGGTTGCATTGGGTCCTGTTTTTTAAGTTTGGAATGATCCATTCCTTCAACTGGTGGCGAAGTTTTATAGCCTTTTACTTCTCATGTAGGAAGTTTGCCCCAATTTGTTTACCCAAATAAATAATTTCTGATCCTCTCCCTTGCTCTATGTTTTTTTTCTAAAAAACTCACATCCCTTACCAAAGTTTTGTTACAGCATATTTAGTGTACAGATGGGAAAAATAAACCAAGACTTTCTTCACTGCTGCTTAGTTTCCTTGAACAATGTACACAATAACAAATGGTGTTAGTTAAAATTGAAGGAGGCTGAGGAGTAAATACATGCAGGAAGACCCTTTTAGTGCAGGGAAGTAGAAAGAAGAAAGAAAGTTGCTGTGACAACACTGTGCACATCCAAGAATAATTTCAGCAGTCCTGGCACCCTGGGTAGCTGAGGGAAAGAGAAAGAAATAATAATTGTGGGAGAAGTCTTATACTCTCAAAGTCTGTGTTTGGGTGATGCAGATTGTTGAAAACAAGCAAGCTCATCTCTGCACTGCACATTATTCAGGTTAATAGATGGGGATTTGAAACACATTTGTACTACTCACATGGGCATAACTCAGAAAGAAAAGCTGGTTATGTGTGAACTCAAGGCCTGGAAGCAAAGGCTCTTCTTCTCCTCCCCTCTTTTCTGTAATCCATTTCCTGTATGCCTGATAAGAAAGAGATACTAAGTGCCTTTAGCAACATGAAGATAACCACAGCTCTTTTTTATTTTATTTTTTTTAATAATATGATGTTTCAGATATTTTCCATCTACTTACCCTGAAAGCTTCTCGCAAACCTCCATTATCTGCAATGTTTTCTGCTAAAGTTCTCTTCCCTTTCACCTTGGCAGAATGAAAGAACATCAGTCATTTGACCCATTTCTGAACTTCCTACTTGATCAACTTCAAAAAGAGGGGGGAAAGTAAAACAAGGCAAGAACAACCTCAGTCGATTTCAACCAACTTTGGTTAAAAAACCTGTGTTTCCATGTGGATACTGCCAGTGAACTATTTTCTGTGATGAGTTATCCTAGCTCTGGTCATAGATCTGTACTGCACAAAATATAGTAGATAGAATGCACTTAAAATCCAGCCCCTGATCTTTGAGCTGAGTGTCAGTAATTTTCCCCTAAGGACTGTTTATATCTGGTTATATCTGAGATCCAGTAGCCTCTTTCTTAAACTTTGGTCTAAAAGGTTATGTTTATTTCTCTACATAACTCTTACAGTACTACTGGGATGTTAAAATAACTTCCAAGTCATAACATAAATAAGTGTGATTAAAAATAACTGTCAGAGACAGAATCAAAATTGGTAGTATATTCGGTGCTCTAAAAATATCTGCAAAGGAGATTCCTGTTGCTTCTTCTGGGTATTGATTCCAAGAACAGGAGCAACAAGAATGTATTGTGGGAAACTGCACTATATAAACTTTGTGAGGAAACTGGTCTCCTGGCATTACCAAGTGCAATATCATTACAAAGAAATCCTAATTTCTGCTGGAGTAGCATTATCTCGACTCACCCAGCCTACTAAGGTCCTTGTGTTACCAACTGTATTTATAATTAAGCAGTTTCACTCTCTCCTGTGCCTCGAATAAGCAAGATAATTGAGCCCAGTTTTGAGCAGGGCTCTGAAGGTCAATGCTGGCTGAAGCCATCAGCTCTCCTGTGCCACAGGGATCAGCACAGTGGGGTTGGCATCAGGACTCAGTTCCAGGATGGCAAAAGAGGGGGAAATGGAGAAGAAGAGGTAAAAACACCAAGAAGAGGTAAAAACACCAAGGGAATGGCCAGAAACTTGTGCACAGCCCCACACTCAGTGCAGAGGAGCACCCAGATTGGACTCAGGACATCTTAATTGATGCCTTGGGTAAAATGTTACAGGAAAAATGGGAGCCACAGAGGAAAGTGCAACCCTTTACCTGTCAGCTCTCCCCTGCCCTCAGGAGGATGGAGACAGAGGTGAGAGAGATGCTTTTAGGAGAAAAGGTGCTGGGACAGCAGGGAAGAGCATGCACACCTTTCTCCCTGGCCCTCCTGTTCACACATTTTACTTGCACTGGGCTTGTAAAGGAGACTGACTTAGACCACAAGATCAGAATAACCTGACAGTGGAACAGGGCCACAGGCCATCTAAAAAGGAGAAGAATTCTTTCTGCTGATCTGGGGCAGCTCTGGATCAGGTATTCCAGACTGCTCTGCACAGAGAGTTTGTGGCAGGGATCAGGGACCATGATAAGCCCTTTATTTGATGAGATGACTTTAAGTGATTATTGCACTCTGAAGCTATTTCTATATCCACTTTTTCTTTCATTAGGCTTCTTTTCTGGAGACATTTTTATTGTATATCAGATGAGAAGGGAGAAGAATAAATAGGTTTCTTGATCCATGAAAAATATTCATACAAGGGTAAAAAATCTGCAGAGTATTGATGCAAATGACAGGCCAAAATGATAATAAAAAAGGTCTTTGTTTGCATAGTTCTTCATACAAAAGGTATAAAATATGGCAGAAAACTGGAAAAATCTTCTATCATCTAAAAAGTGCTTTTGGTTATCCTGTGGATATGGAAGGAATAGGATGACAAAGCTGTGGGTAACAGGATCTCTCCAGTAATCCCATCCACGGACTTCAAAGGCAGTATCTACACTGAGAGGAAATTCAGACCTACCTCAACTCAAGAGACAGTGCAAAAGGTAAAGGGGATGGCCAAGCCAATGGCAGAGGCATGGGAAGGGCTCAGCCACATCCTTGGGGAAAGTTTTAATGATCTTCTTTGAGTGACATTTTTGTAACAACAGTTTTTGTCCTACAAATATTCAGGAATGAGCCTCTGAATATTTTATTTGTAAATTAGCTTATTATGAAGTATTTCAAGTCTGAGCTGCTGGACTTCAGACTGGACCACAACATGGCTTTGTTATCTCTGAGATCAGCACAAACAAACCTGGCAAAGAATTGTTGATGAGCATTTCATGGGGCCTTGCTATTCTTAAAAGGCAAAGATTCACTAGTATTTCTAAAATGTAGATAGAGGTGATAGAATTGAGTGGGGACTGGAGTATGTGTTTTATCCTGAAAACTAAGATTAAAATCGTGCCCCAGACAACATTACTGGAATTTCAGCTATTCATTTCTGAAGGTCTGGGATGCATCCTGTTTATCCTCATTTTGGACACACATATGTATGTACACATTTTCAAGGAAGTCCATACCTCTGATAGACAGTGAAACAGAAACAATTCCCTTGCACTTTCTTTCTCAATCCTTTTCTAGGAGCTACTGCTGTCATATTCCCTTGATTAAGCATACAAATGGGGTCTGTGTGCACACATGGAAGAAATAGCAAGAGTTGAATCTGAAATAAAGTAGGGCTTATGCATCCATTTTATAGCTGCAATAAATAACAGGCAGAATTGTTAAAGGAATCTATAAAACATGCTATTATATTCATTCTAAAAGAGTGACTGCTCAGTTTTCATCACAGACCTCATCTTCAGAAGACATTTAACATGCTCACAATAATTAGACCAGCCCTGCTGAGTGGCTTCATCCTCTTCCTCTGATTCCAAAACAATGTGATGGAGAGAAATGGTTTAACCCTGTCACCAGAATGTGGGTAGTGGTATTTGTCTGGACTAATCAAACCTGACAGACAATTTTTTACACAATTATTCACCTCAAAAAATCATTTGTTGTGAGAAATGAAGTCGGTAGCCTAATATCCCAATACTTTGGGATTTATAAAAAGGGAACTTAAAAAAAAAAGAAAAAAAGGCACAGCCACACAGACTTCTCATGCACCACTGCTTTCAGTCACTGATGGTTTACATACATGTAAGCCAGCTTGCTTCCAGTAGTAATTGTTGTATTGATTAATCATGCATTTTGTTTTCTCTTTAAACTTTTCTTCAGAGTCAGTCGTCCACCAAGGGTCTAAATTTCCATTTTTGTCATATTTCCGACCTCAAAAAGGAAAGAAAGAAAGAAAACAAATGCTTTTGCAGGAGAAAACTTTCACAGTTTAGGAATCTATCACCTTCACAGAAATGAGAGGTGAATGTTCTCATGTAAGTGTGTGTACAAAATGGATAGGAATAGGACCAGTGAGCAAAATCTTGACCCTACTCAAATCAGCAGTGAAAAGCTGGTATTCTATTTAGTATCATAATTTCCATTTGCAGAAAAAGATAGTAATGACTAATGAGTTTTATATTACATTTTATAATTACATAGTGTAAGAGCCACTTAGCTTTCTTGCAAGTATAATTGTATTTTTCATCCTCAGTTCATATGTCTTTCATTCTGAAAATGTGATGATAACTAATTTATTATTAATTCTTCACTTGATCAGGAAACAAATCCATTTCATGCAAACTTCTGAAGTTTCCATTTTTGATTTTGTAGCAAAACCAGAACATTTAAGCCCTGCTCATGGAAACAGGGGGATTACACACATCCCATGGCCCAGGCTGATGGTTAAGCAGTGGCTTGTTTCAGTCTCAGGTCCCTGCTCCCTATCATTTGTAGGTGTATTTAATTTCTATATCATAACTCCAGCTAGTCAGACACAAGACATGTTTGGACTTTTCTGAGCATGTGTTTAGCTGCCAATGTGGATGCAGCTTTGCTCTGTGATTTGATTCCTCTTTGCACCTGCAGGAGAGAGGTAAGGAGCAACAGAGACACAATACCAAGTACTGAAGATGTTTTGTTTCATCTTTTTATTTCTTTTTTTTTTTTTACCTTCTCTGTGTATTGTCTTGTTCAAGGTGACAAATTCCCTAGACATGTATTTATTTCTATATTTGGAAGGTAAGAACCTGGGAAGAAGGAGGGGTCTGCTTAGGAAATCAAACATTAGGCTCCTTTCTGACTGGCAGGAGACAAGGTGGAGATTAGGTGCTCACCTACACAAGCTGGGAGTTTATGAAGAAAAATGTCTCCATTCTGGAGTGTTTGCTAACACAAAGTGTTACAGAGCAGTGGGAACAGGATGCCAGGATACAACGGTTTCTTTTGTTGTTGTTGTTGTTGTTTTGGGGTTTTGGGGGGTTTTTTAGGGTTTGTTTTTTTAAGGTATTCCATATTACAAAATGTAAGCAAACTTAAAATTACTCCTTGGAGGAGGAGGTTCACGTTTCTTTCACTCTGCACCTCCCTTCTCCTCCTTCTCCCCTCACTTTCTCTCAGGAGCCAAATTTTAAAAAGCACTTTCCTGAGACAGCCAAACCTAGGCAGTGGCAATGCCCCAATCCACCCAGTTTGTCAGGACAATTGGATTGACATTTTCTGACCATTTTTTCCTCCTCTGTCTCTTTTTTGAAATTAATTTTAATATTTTGCAAAATCTTTTCTGTACCACTCTTGTTCCAGTATTGTATTTTAAAACTTTTGCAATTATCTTTTGAAAAAGGTCAAACCTGAAAAGTTTTCTTGGAAGTAATTTTTATCAATCAGAAATTATCCCTTTGCCCCTCTCACTCCCCCCCTCCCTGTTAGGACTTTCAGAATCTGTTGCTGAATTAGTTTTCATTCAAGACAAACAGAAAGATTGAAACTTGTGGTATTTTTTACTAAAAAAAATCCAATTCAGACAAACAAGTTTCCATGTAAATAAATCTAATAAATAAAAGTTTATAATTTTGTCACTCAACTCAGCAAAATTTTAAAAATCAATAAAAACAATAAAAAAGCTACAGAATGTACAAGTCAGCTTTTTAATCTGACAACTTTGTAAATTAAAAGGTTATCAAAATGCAGTCAAATACTCACCATTGCTATCAAATCCATGAGTAAACTCATGGCCAACAATCACTCCTATGGCACCATAACTTAATGACCTGTAACACAAAGAAGCAATTTCCTCAGAAAGTGTTCACAATCATGAACGTTAAAGGACAAAAGACGTCAGGGAAGATCAGTATTGATTTAAAAAGAGGGTGAGGATGCAGGGAATATGGGCCTAAAAATCAGACCACAGAATTTTGACTTAAAGATGTTGAAAGTCTTAATGTTAAACTCTTGTTTAAAAGTAACATTTCATCTAAAACTTTGAAAGCATTGTGATGGTTCCAACCAAATCCCTTATCAGCATCACATGAACTCCAGACGCCTTCAGCTGACTGCATTCTGTATATTCTGACTGGAAACAGGAAAAAGTTACAGCTGCAACTACTCTGAAACAAAAACAGTATTCTGTAAAGCATTAACAGATCTACATTCAGTTTTAAAAAGAAAGGTCAAATAATTCCCTTGCACCTGCCCTGGAATAGGACATGATACACAGTCAGATCTAAGGCATCTGGGAAACAGAGTAAAAAGAAATATTTTTTATTCCTGACTGACAATTAATTATATCTTCCTTATTATATCCCAATAAATATGCTTTTAGGAGAAATAGGGAGGAAAGAGGGAAAAGCTCAGAGCTTTTTTTACACCAAATGCAGTGGATATCATGGGGGTGGCCTAACAAGCAATTTGTTGAGTTGATTTTAATTATTTCAGTTATCGAGATGCTATACTTCAAAGTAGTTTATAGTATATCTAACACATCATATTGAAATAGAAGAAAGGCAGAGATTATTGAAATAACATATTATTGGACCTAATGATCCATAGTGCACTAATTGCTCATCTCAGTCATGCCCAGAAACTATTATATCATTTAATTCCCTCTGCTTCCATGAAAATCCTTTACTTTTTTTTTTTTTCCTTTCCTGGATGGTATTTTGCATATCTTAAAATCTTCCCCACTGCTTTTTAGCCCAAGTACTGTTACAAACCATCTCCAACAAATGCAGGCTGAAATTATACATTTCAGCAATGGAAATATCATCCTCTTGTGTGACAAGTTTGTAATCTTGTGTAGCACACAGTGATAATTACCCCTAATAAATGTACTATGTAAGACTTATTTTCCATATCTGAAGTAAAGAGGTTATACAGGATCTTTTGCAGCTGGAGAAGTTTAAAAATAATAGCACAAAACATGTAAAGAGATTGAGAAGAAACAAGCCCTATTACTAAATACATCTTATTTTTCCTCTAAGGTCCTTTGTCACCATGAGTGGCAGGGAGAAAGAACAGGTTGGCATTCTGGCACTCTGACTCCTTGGAGCTTTCCTTAGCTCCAAAAGAGAAGGTTACAGTTGCAGTGAATTTTGGCCTTTGAATCTGTGAACCCCAACAGTGCATTTTGTCCAGCTCAACAATATTTTTCTCAGAAATTTTCCCAGTTCTGTTCATGCTTTTCACTTCTGGGCACAGCTGGACAGAGATGGAAGGGATAGGTGGAGCCCAGCAGATACCACATTAAAGGGGAATTTTCAGGGACTGAGGAGGCTCAGAGAACTGTAAGGAAGCTATGAGGTCAGGTAGTTTGAAGTCTATATTTCAATATATACGGCACTGAAGGCTCACAACTGTGAGTGATGGCATTTGAGTTATTTTATTTAATGTACTGAGATGTAAAAGTGATAACTAAGCTTTGCTTTATGCAAATAGCTGTAATAGGTTTTTCGTGGTTGTGCTGGAACTGGACACTAAAATGCCACTAAATGTTAAATATTTGCTAAATCAGTTTTTCAGCAGGCACTGGTGACTTTTTGTTGGTTTATCTGTCCCACTGCCATGTAGTGCTTCTTCTAAGCAGACGGAAAACATCCAGAATATTTCAAGGACAAAAGCAATCTGTTGTCTGATATAAACCAACTACATTTGTTTACTAAATTACATTTTGATACGTGCTCAAGCAAAACCAATTTAAGCTCAGGTAACCTTTAAGGAAGAAAAATGAGCAAAGTATAATACTTTGAAAGAACCACAATTTTATCACTATGGCAGAAGGTCAGAAAACAGAGAAATCTGTTCAGAAAGCAAAGCTGGAAACAGTCTGCAATAACTATAACAGAATATAAGTTCACCTTAACAAGAAAGAACTTTCTTCTGTTCCAAATTACCACTTACAAAGTCATCTGGCCCACAAGAATTCTCTTTGGATGCAAATTAATTTGTTCATAAATTGAACATGTCTTTCTACAGATATTGCCAAATTTCCTGTTTACAAGGACACAATCCAGATTGGACGATGGCAAACACAAAATGTTCAAAAAGTTTGATTTTTTTTAACAATGATTTATTAAGGATATGTTTCACCAGTAACTGGCTTTATATAACTGTAAAATAACTTTCAGAAACTGCCAACAAAAATTTTTCATGGTCTTATCCTGCCCCAAAATAGAAAGCTATTGAACTGCACAAAAGCAGTGATTTTTCAAAATTTAATGTATGTGACCTATAATTACCCTTCCTCAGCTACGTTGGCATGTGGGGCTGCTCAGGCAATCACTTCTGCACATGAAGATATTCTCATGCACCTCGACAGGCACAGACAAGGGCCCACTGCTAATCTTAGATATTAGCAGAAAGAGAACAATACACTGACAATAATTGGCTTCTCAGGGCATTCACTTCTCTTCAGGAAGTGTTAGTTATCTGATTTACCATTCCTTTTAATACCTGCCATGTGCACACTGCTGCATCTGCATGCTGTAGCATTGAAACACTTCCACTTGGGTGCACTTAATTAGCAATTCCTGTGAGAAATCAGTCATCAGCTTAAGACAACAGCAACACATACGGCTCCCAAGGGTAAGAAAAAGTATCACACAAAGCAGCACTTCTCAAAGTCAGCTGTTCCAGTAGCAAAGAGAGAACACACAACACAAGTTTGCCCTACAGCAGGACAACACAGTTTTCCTAGGTGCTACCTTTCTGTTGCCTTCACTACTGCAGCCTTCTTCTCCACACCTTCGTGTTTGTCTTTGTGTCTTTGTGTTTGCACTACCTTTCTTTCCCTGGGATTCCTCAGCTCTAGGTGGATGAGGTTCCTTGGTGCAGTACTTACCTAGGATACTCTGTTCCCCAAAAGAAAGGCTTTTGAAGTTCTCCTGCTGGGAATCCTGCAATAACAAAAAGGGAAAAAAAATAGTGAGGTCAACTGAATACAGCTGAATAGCTGTCACAATGCCCAAGGATTTCGATTTTATGACCTCATTTGTTTGGTTTCAGAAGGCTTTTTGAGGGGACTTTTCCCTTGGGTGGTAGAATGCAATAGAGAGGATCTCAGAGAGGCAGTACAGATCCTGCCACTCACACATCAGAATAAATGCATGTGCTCCTGTGGAAAACACACCTCATGTTTCCTATGGAGAGTACTGGATTATCCTCAGATGTGCTGACTGATCGATAGACAATACATAGGTAAAGTGCAATAACAATTAAAATAACATTAGCTTAGTGAGGCTTTAGTGAAGCAAGAAATATGAAAGTGATAAAATGTAAGCCTGATTCTATTTAGTCTATGAAAAACAGAGTAAATGAACATACTTAGGCACATCTGTAAGGGAAATCTGTAAATTATTAAGGCTGTAGGGTCAATCTAGCTACAGATGTTTCCTGTCTGCTTCTGTAGACTAACCAGTTGCAAAAAAACACCCATCAATGGAGACACTCTGGTGAGTGATGAGCTACTGATGTTCCACATAGGAATCAAAATTGTTCCTCAAATTCAAAGTCACAGGTTTCTTTTTAATTCCAGGGTGACATTTTAGGACCAGGATACTCAAGACAGTGGAGCTGCACATGGTAAAAGTTTAACAGCCCAAAGAATTGCTAAATAAAACATACATCCATGGTCAAAGTTCTTATGTGATGGTGAAAAGTGTCATCCTTCCAGGCCTAAATGTGGAATTTATTGTCTTGTGTCACAAACTCCCATCTATAAAGCACAGGCATACAACTGCTTAGCAAGTTTACCCATACAGCCATCACCTTGTTGAGGAAGAACATTTCCTCAAGTAACTCACTTGTTTTCCCAGGAACTGCTGCTTTACCCTAAGGGTCTCTCTTCAAGAAATCACCTGAACACTCAGGACAATACAAAAACCATATTCATTTGATTCTACCCCTATTCAGGTTTTTGTCAATAGTTTGGTCATGGAGTTATTTGTATCTAAGTTGTCAGGCAAGATCTTTGTCTTTTCCTTACAAAGTCTTTAAAAACTTACTTTTAAATGAAAAAAAATCAAAAGACCCAATAAACAAACAAAAAAAAAAAAAAAAAAAAAAAAAAAAAAAAAAAAAAAAAAAAAAAAAAAAAAAAAAAAAAAAATTGAAACAAACCCAGTATGTTGAGTGTAATTCATGCCAAGTGATGTGGCACAAGGCATGTCCTCCCAGCCTGCCCAGCTGCTTTTTCCTGTTGCTTCTCTGTGGCTGCCATCATTCCCTATTTGCAATTAGCTTATGAAAAGTGTGGGCTTCTAACTTATTTTCTAAGTGTTGTCTGGGTTTTTTTTTCCTTACTTCTCCAGACGTTGTTTTATTGCTTTATCAAGCACGATATCATTTGCTTTTCCAGCACTACAAACCACAACTTTACCAATGTCAAGGACAAAGTTTTACTGATCTAACTCTCCTCGCCTCCCAGAGCACAGAGAAAATTATTTATAACGCATCTTTTAAAAATTTTAAGGAGAAATGGTACACTCAAACAACCTGATGAAAATTGCCTGTTAGGCCTTAAGAGTTATGTTCAGACCTGAAAAGGTTTGAAGGTTCCCTTCAAATACTGAAACTCAAAAAGGTTTTGGAATGCTTAGGTTCTGCTAACTCTAAATGATCCCCACAACAGATGAGGAATAGTGGCCAAAATGAAGAAATGAGCCCATACTGAAGGCAGTAGGAACCAAGGTAGCACAGTCATCCCACAAATCAAGTTTAATGATCACACAATCCTGGGTGCCTGTCACTGCACCAAGAGGCTATCAAGATCTTTTAAGGAGCTGCAATTATTTTTTTCCCAGGTATAAACTTGTAGTGAATTTGCACTTGTCTGCAGTAGAGGTAATAAACATTATTTACAGCAAATTAGGTGCAAATCTTCACTCAGGCTTATCCAGCTACACTAAATGTGTCTTCATAGAACACTGCTGAAACACAGTCAGCTGTGAGTTAAGCCATGAGATAGTTTTCACTGAACAAGTCAGTGTGAAGGAATGGTAGGAAGTTCCAATGCTGAATCTGTACAACAGGTTGGTAATTATTTTACTCAGAGCCAGGATCCATTTTAGGTTAGACATCACTGAGCCAAGTGCTGGTTAAATGAGAGTTTTCTGCTTCTGGACATGTGTGAAAACATCTCTGTAGTTTGCACTAAAGGAAGCTCAGGAAGTATTCTCAGGCCAAAGCAGAGTCAGAGGCAAGTAAAATGTAATACAGATTTCAGAAAACCTCAGGAAACTGGAATACATTATCACCAGTAGAAGTTGTTTTGTTTTGTTTTCTTTTGCCTGGGGGGTGCATGTCTTTGTAGTTTTGTTGTGTTTGTTTTTGATAAGAAAAAAAAAATCTAGGTTTGAAAGTGATTCTTGGTGAGCTAGTAAAGCAAATGGGTCTCATTCTCCAGAGGTCAGCAGCACTGAGGGACTGGGGGTGATTTCCACTATCCCCACACTAGAAGGAGCACATTAAGAGCTGGCAACACTTTTTATGCAACATCACCTTCAGGCAAGCAACAACTACATCATCCTTGGGGGGAGCAAGATACCTAGAATGTCCTTGAAACATGAGATTGATCACCAGACAGTTTCTTATTTTATGCTGATTTGAATCCCTCAATTTAGGCTTCCCTTCCCCTGTGAAGCCTGTTTCTTTTTTTTTCCCTTGGCATACTGCACCTAAAAGAATTAATGACAAAACTCAGAGAGGTCATAGTAGGCTGCAGATGCAACAAATACTAATGGGATTATTTATATGCCACTGGAGTTCAAGCAGGCAAAGGACAGATCTGAAGGAGTAAGACAGACTTCAGGGAATTTCACATCTTAAGGAATAGATACAGGCACTGGAAACGTATTTTGAGCTAACACTTGACCACAAATTTAGCCTGTGTTGTGCAACTTTTAAAGCTTTCTCCCTCTACACAATCTCAAAAGAGAGATACAGGCTGACAGTGTCTCTATACACCAAATTGCAAATGCAGGCTCAGAGTCTACACTCAAGGCCATTACTCACCAACAGCAGACAGAAAGAAAACTCTGTTATCTTATTAAAGATCCCACACAAATCCATCTGCCAGCAAGACCTGGACTTGCAGAATGTGCTTTGACTGCAACCTATCTAAATTTGGAGCAGTGCCACTGGGCTGCAGCATCATTCTGAGACGGGCACTGGTGTCACATGCCACAGGATTACTGCTCTGTGGACAGCTGGGTTCAGGCTGTCACAGAGCAGCACTGGTACTCTACATCCATGCATCTTACTGGTGGGACAGCCAGGCTAGATCATCCTCAAGATGGGCTTGGTGCCACTGGTCCCAACATGCTAAGGACCAGCTGTTCTGATCACAGCCTTTAAGCCCAGCAGTTCAAGGAGTTTTCAGTGCACCTGACCATCCTCTCAAGTAGCCAATTCTTCAGCAATTTCTACTTGAGCATGTTTGGGGAGAGAGTGCTGAAATTCCTTCTAAAGAATAAATTATATTCACATCTCTCTCCTCCTCCACTGAGCTATAATCTCAGTGTAGAAAGCAGGTCAGAGAAATTGTTCCCAGGATTTACTTTACCATGTACCCATGGACTGTTGTGAGTCTGGCTAGCTTGTAATTCCCTAGATCTTCCTTCTAGAAGATAGGAGTGACATTTGCTTTCTTCCAGTCCTCAGGAACGTCCCCCAGTCACCATAACCTTTCAAAGATTACCAAGAGTGGCTTCATAATGATGTTGTGAGCTTGTAGGTGCACCCTGCAGAGCCCATGGCCTGGCGTTTGCCCAATCTGTTTAAATGTTCCCTACCCCACTCCTCCTCCACAGAGGGTAAATCTCTCTGTTACCAGGTCCCCTGCCCTCCTTCACCACTGCATTTCCCCTCAACTTGCTGCTGCTGCAGCTACACTTGCAGAAAAGTTTTTTCACATCTCTTGCCAGATTCATGTCCAGGGAGGCTTTTGGCTTTCCAAACCCCTGTGTCTTGGACAGTGACTGTTCAGCTTTCCTCTTAGCCACCTTACTGCTCTGGAATGCAGGGGCACTTCAAGCAGTGGAGTACACCTGGCTTACTTCAAATATTTCACTCTGAATTTATGCTGATCTTGAAGCTCTGACAGAACTTTTCCTGCACAAGACTACTTTTAATGCAATTGAAAGTTTCTATCTTCATTTTAGCTATGATGTCATTTTCAGCATCTCCCTCCAGCAAGGTGCTGTAAAGCTTGTCAGAATGTATTTAAAATTTGAAGGTGGTTTCTTTTTCTCCAATTTTGCAGGGGCTTTTCTGCTATTAATAAATCCATTTACTAGCTAATACCTTCATGGTATTATTATACACACTTTGCTGATTAATACCTTTACCTCAGTATGATATTGCTAGTTTACCAAGAAGACACAAATAATTACATTTGATCTGATAATTCCCTGAAAAAATGCAGAGCAATAATGGAGAAACTAAACCAAAAACATACGAGAAGACTCACCAAATCACAAGGAAATTTGGAGTTCAAACCTAAATATGAATTCAAATTTTATAGTTAATTACATTATTCAGTTATATTGCATGAAGTTTTTAACTGAGCAAGGCAAAGCCTTATTCCCAGTTAGTGCTTTTACAAATTCCACAAATGAGTTTGGTTTGTTTACTTCTGACAGGCTAGTGAATCCCATACATAAGTAACAGATATGGGAGACAGCTGTGCTAAACTGTGTGATATACAGATTGCTCTGCCAATTGGTGCACTGGCAGCTCTCTGATGTGTTCAAAAGCTCTAACTTCTTTTTTCAAGTGTCACTGAATGAATCCAGATGTAGAGTTTTAAAGGGATAAGATACAAGCAGAAGACTAACTGCTGGTCCGTGATCAAAGAATATTGAATTCACATAAGGAATTAAATGTGAAGGACAGGGGT